GATAGATGAAAATCAGCATTCATTTAGATAGTGCTGCCAGATTGTCTTTGATCCAGATATTTCTTGTAACAGCTTTAGCAGGAGTTGACTGAGCAGGGAGAAATGCTTTCAAAAAAAAAAAAAAAAAAAAACTTGTTAAGTAAATGAAGGTTTTTGAGATGTCCATGAGGTTTTAAGCAATAGCAAAATAAAAAGCCCACAAAGAAAAGTAAGTACACAAATGTTGCGCCTTATGATAGTCTTTCGCAGTATACCTTTTTAGAATGATTTAACTTGTGGGCTTAGAGCCAGTATACAAAAAGGAGTTTTATCTGTTGGGCTTAGAGAACCTAGGGGTGGGTGCCAATTAGGGGAAGAACTCTGGGTGACACTTACTTGGCCATCTTATTTCAGGTTGCGGGACAAAGGCAAAGGGAAATCCCTTCCTCCCAAAAAGCCAAAGCCCCAGATAAACCAGTGGAAGCAGGAGAAACAGCAGTTATCTTCCAGGCAGGTGAGTTCTGCAGGTACATGGCTTTGGTATTGCGAGGCTCTGCTGGGCTGGCGGCCACTTTGGTACGTTGGTTAGTGGAGCAAAAAGAAAGGGCTTCTGGATTACAACTCCATGCAGAACTGCAGCTTTTTAGAGGATGTTGAGGTCCACAGTCATAAAAGTAGAGAAAAAAGTAAAATGAGCCCCACATATATCTGCTACTCTCTTCAATAGTTACCATGTTTTACCTATCCCCATGCATGCTTTCCCCTACCAGAGCATATTAAAGCAGACCCCACTCCACATATAAAAATGCACCTGACGTGAAAATGAGGTATATTGCTCAGAGAAACCTCAGAATGCATCTCTGATTGGGCCTTAAATATACACACTCACATTATGCCATTATCATAGCTAATGAAATTAGTAAGAAGCCCTTAATATCATTTACTACATAGCCCTTACTAAAATCTCCCCAATTGCCTCAAAAAAATTTTTTTATAGTCAGTGTGAATCAGGATCCAACATCCACACTTTATATTTCTTAAATCTTTTTTCTATAATTTCCATACTCTCTTACTACCCCTCTTTTTCCCATGCTGTTAATTTATTGGAGAAACCAGGTCATTTGCCTTTTAGAATGTATTACATTTTGAATTTAGGTGCTTGCTTCCTTGTGATATCATTTAACTTATTCCTATGACATCCCATATTGCCTGTCAACCAGTAGTTAGATCTAGAGTCTTGGTCAAGTTCAGTTTTCTTGACAAGAGTATTTCAGAAGTGGTACTGTGTGTCTCCTTGCATCACACGAGGCACATGCTACCTGGTTGCCCATTTTTAGTGATGGTAAGATTGATCAGATGTGGGGTTGTCTGCCTTATCCCTCCATTGATAAAGTTCCCTATCAGCCTTTCACCTAATGGCTTTAGCAACCATTGATGAGTGTTATCTAGATTCATTATTTCATTATGGGTTACAGAATGGTGATTTTCTAATTCTGTCCTTTTGTACTTTTTAGTAGAATTCTAGAAAGAAAAATCTTCCCTTGTCAACCACAAAATATCATTTGTATAGGAAAGACAGGATAAATACTTGATTTTTTTTTCCCTCTGTATCAGTTTCCAGAGTAATGGGCTATTGCCCTATTAACCGCCTATGGTGACTGATAAAATTTTTTTAGTGGTATGAAATCATGAGGTTTTTATATACTTGATGTGCATCAAATGCAGTCATTATTCTTACCCTGTCTTAGGCCAGCAGAAGCCCATTCAGGTTGGCTCCTGAGTCCTGACATGACCTCTTTGGTAGTGTCCTTGCTTTCTAGTACAATAAGATGTCCCAGGCCCATCTCATATATACTTTTCCTCCAGTTCTGGCATTAGCCAGTTTTCCAAGGAGCCCTAACTCCTTTTAGTAGAAAATCGTGGTCCTACATTCTTGAACGTTTGAAGTTCAACCTTTCTTCTCCCCTTCCCTGGTCCCTTTCCTTTAAGGGTAAAAGAAGCATTAGCTTCCCATCTTACTCAAGAAATCTGTCTGTGGGAAGTTCCTGACCTATACTGTACTATAGTACAGAGATATCTGAAATCCCATAAGCAGCATTCTTGGTGAGGGGATGGGCAAGCGAGAATGTCCAAACTCTGGGCTAGCTCATCTGTGTTAATCTGAGATTAAAGTGAGCATTTGGGATGTAGAGTGGGAGAGGCCTCCTCATCACCCACACAGCATGTTAGGCAGGCCCTGCTCCTATGCATTCTTGATCCGATTTCTTACCAATGGATGATTCTTTTTGAGCTCTTCTCTATAAGGGTCTCTCTCTAGAAGCCTACCTCTTCCTGGTGGACATGATCCCTATACCTAATTATTTTCTGTCTTGAGGGTGGCTTAAGGGTAAGGTGATATGTAGTGTTTGAAATTGATTATCTTATGTTTCTTTTCCTTCCATTCGTAGGTACCTAAGAAAAAAGCTAAGGGAAATAAGACAGAAACCCGCTTCAACCAGCTGGTCGAACAATATAAGCAGAAATTATTGGGACCTTCTAAAGGGGCACCTCTTGCAAAGAGGAGCAAATGGTTTGATAGTTGATAATGCCAGCAGACTGGATAAGAAACTGGGTTGTGTACTTTTTGGTGAAGCTTCCAGGTTCCTCCCTAGCCCCCATGTCTTTTCCTGAAGGAAAGAAAACCCCTGAGGGCTCGGTTACTCTCTTGGGAGGCTCCCTGGGCTGTGCACATCTGAACTTTCCCTCCTCCGGCGTGTGGTTGGTTACTCACAAAGAGAGATACCCAGAAAAATCATGATGTTTTCATATTATCCAGATTATTATGTGAAGTTGTATCTATAATTATGACCCATTTTTCTTTGTTTCTCAAATGGAAACAAATGTAAAAAGCATTTTAGAGTGCTGAATTTTTAAGATGTATGTTTTGTTAAGCATCTTCTCTAAATGAAATATTGTGTGGATTTTTAATAACAGACTCTCATTTCTAATGTATGTGAATCCTTTATTATTTATGAACGTTCCTGACATTCCTAACTAATTTGGTTACATAGTCCCACACACTGCAGGAGTTGACTGAGCAGGGAGAAATGCTTTCTAAACCTAATCTGTGTGGGTGGGAGACACTTGGAAAGTAATGGAGGATGGTGAGGCCTGGCAGAGAGTGTTGCCTGGCACCCGATAAGTGTTTGCAGAATGAGGGGGTGATTATTGATAGTTGACCAGAAATCAGTTTGCAGTGCCAAAAGATACTAGCCTGGCAAATGATGACCTGCATTTCTCAGAGAGCTAGTGGGTGTGGCAGGACAAGCAGTAAGCATGTGGCCCAGGCTGTAGCCTAACCTGCCATCACCCAGTGGGTGGCCTTAGGCCACATGCTGTTTCTTCGAGTCTTGGTTTTCTCATCTATAGAATAAGGAGTTTAACTAAATGTTTTCTTTGATTCATCCCAGCTCTAAACTCTTTTTCTAATTCATTCCCATCCATATAAAAATTATTTCCCTTTTCTAAAGTTTAGAGGTGTCACAAAAGGTGGGAGGGGTGGTAAATATTAGAGAGTCATGGTCCATTAGGATCCTGATGGCACGAAGGAAAGGACTGAGTCTGATAAGATGAAATCACTGAGACAAACATAAATCCCCGAGCTTGGGTCTAAAAACCCACCTGCACAACTTCTGATGGGAGAGTTTGAGTTGACTGAATTCATACTGCGAAGCACCAGCCTGGCCACCACGTATGTAATAGGACTGCCAAGCTGTGTTAGTAGACGTGATATCTCAGGTAAGTGAGCTGCTAGTACCCTGAGCTGGCAGCCAACCTGTAAGACAATGTAATGACTGTGTTGGTGAAGGAAATCAAACTGTCAGATGGAAGCAAAATTGGTCATGAGTTGATTGTTGTCAAAGTTGGTCATGGGTTAGTGAAGATTTGTTGTGCTATTCTCTGCTTTTGTGCACATTTGGAATTTTCCATAATGAAAAGTTAGAAAAGTCAGATGAGTAACTAAAGAAATCTGATACTGACCTGCCTGAGAAGGGAATTCTTGGGGTATAATAGCTGATGGTAAAGCCCAGAAGGGCACATGGAGGCAGATGCATAAAAGCCACAAGGAATCAGATTTTGGCTCCAGTAGAAGGAAGAACTTTTTAGTGTCATTGTCGGAGGGATGTGAGTTTGTCGCTGAAACAATCCAAGTGTAGATCTGCTAAGTCCATGATACTGTCTGGGAGACTCCAATACCAGAGGGTTGGGCTGGAGGAGATGGTAAGGATTGATCAGCTCATGAATGTTTGGCCCCAGAGTGACCTGGAGATGAGCCTCATGTCTCACGCTGGTCCCTGAGGCCCCTTTCTGGAGAATATCTGGCCGTCGTTCTCTGTGTAGTAGACTTCATGCGCTTGATCCTCATTAGGGCTGCCCCTAGTTGGTTTAGCCCCTGCCTAAAACCCTCCAGTGGTTTCTCATCTCACCTTGATTGAAATTGCAGCATCTTCCCTGGACATGCAGTGCCCTAGGTTCTGCAGCCCCTGTCACCTCTCTAGCCCTGTCTTCATCACTCTCCTCTTCATCCACTTTTGGCCACTTTGCCTCTTCACTCTTTGCCCCTCAGAGCCTTGGTATCTATTCCCTCTGCCTGGAGAGCTTTTCCCTCACATCTTTTGCTTATCGCTCAGATCTCCCCTGAGCTGTCACCTCCTCCTGGAGCTCTTCCCAGACTATCTAAAGTAGGCCTTTTCTTCTCCTCTTCTCTGTCCTGGCCCCTCACTGAATTCTTTCACCTCCTCTGTTTTCTTTCTAGTACTAATCTCTACCTGAAGTCCTTCATCTCCCCAGTTAGAATGTATGCTCTGTGAAAGGGACTTCACTCTCTTGTTCCCTCCTGTAGACAGCACCTAGTACTGACCCTGGCACATAAGTGTTGAATACATATTTGTTGAATGAAAAAAGTAAAGGAGGAAAGAAAGAGACAGTACTCAGTAGACAAGAGAAAAAGTTGGGAACATAGCCCAAAGTTCTTGACTCCCCAGTCCAGTCCAGTGCTATAAATCTGCTGTCCCCAAGCCCCGGGGCCACGGACTAGTACAGGGCGTTACATCACCGCCTGAGCTCTACACCCGCACCCTACTCCATCTGTGGAAAAATTGTCTTCCGTGAAACTTAGGAACCAGGCACACAGCAGGAGGTAAGCAAAGCTTCATCAGTATTTACAGCCACTCCCCATTGCTCACATCACCGCCTGAGCTCTGCCTGCCCACCCTCCCATCTGTGGAAAAATTGTCTTGGATGCAACCGGTCCCTGGTACCAAAAAGGTTGGGGACTGCTACTATAATTGATGCTTTCACAGAACCACTGCCGAGCTAGGGATATGACTATTTCATCGCAGTATCTTGGGAAACCAGCGAATGCTCCCAAATGCCCTTATTTGGTTTATTGGTACATGAAGAAGAGGCCATGATAATATTTAAACATTTTGGAGAGATCAAAAGGACAAGTGCTTTATCTTCAGGGTCACCCTGAGACAGTGTGACTTGGGGATTTTCACAGGTTCTTAAATCTCCTGGCAACACATCTGTCCTAGCGTGGTCTGTACAGTGTAGAGGAAGTAAGGGACTTTATTAATGGTGATCTGTTTTCCTTTGGCCAACTCAGTGTCTGCTTACCAGATACCTTTTTTTTTTTGAGAATATAAATATCTTTAACATTGAAAAATATATAATGTATCTTAACATTTACGATAGATGAAAATCAGCATTCATTTAGATAGTGCTGCCAGATTGTCTTTGATCCAGATATTTCTTGTAACAGCTTTAGTAACCTAGTGTGTTAAAACCTCATTCAATTGCTTGGAAAGTTATTGCGCAGTTTTTTTAAGAGAGTAATGTGAGGAGAAATCATCTGCTTTCTCAACAAGCACATTCCACCTGTGGTGTCTTCCTTTGGGACACCTCACCAGGGGTTATTTGGTCAGCTCCATTCCCTTGAGAGTGTGAATGCTTCACTACAGAGCCTCGGGTGTCAAGAAATGGAGTTTTCTGAATTAATATGAAGGTTGGGGTACAGACTGCTTGGTTAAACAATAAGGACAAACATTTTTGTTAACTCCCAAGACTGAAGGCCACCAGTCAGAACTATCAAGTTTTGGTAGTGTTTCCCCTCTTACTTACTAGCCTGACTCAGTGACAAGACCTTTAAATAAAGAATCATAAGATGGTGTGTGGCTGTTTCTTTGCCTTTTTACTTATTTATTTATGTTGTTTAGTTTGTAGTTTTGAAGAATCTGCTCTGCTCCAGCTGTACAGTTCCTTCTAGAGTGGCAAGGATTGTGCTTCAGCTGTCACAGAAATAGTATCTATGGTTCCCTCTATTATAAAGTTAGAGCATACGATCCATTCTTCGAAATACTTCCAAATGTTCTTTGGCATGTTTTTATCTTGAAAAGAGGTTTTCCAACTAGAAATTCAGAGCCCAGAACCTCAAGGCTCCAGAGATCCCCTTTGCATCATGCATTGGCCTTCAGTTCTCTGAGGAGGCAGTGGGTCAAATGTGTCACAATGCATGCTCACCCCCCAGAGTCTGCTGTCCTAGCTCTCCAGCTGACCCAAGTAGCCAGTTCTCTGCCTGGTATCCTTGTGACTCACTGTTTGTAAAGTGACTGACAGGCGGCAGCCAATTCTGTCATATGAGAAGCAGCTCTGCCCATGCAACTTTGAAAATTCCTACACTTTTCCAGACTGTTCCTTCGTGAAAATAGCCACATTGTCAATTTTGAGGATGCCAGAGGTAAGTTTGTTTTCATTTTGTCTTGGGCAGCACTTACCTCCTGCCTTCAGCTCAGCTCTAACTGGGGCTTTAAGGGCCAGGATGAGGTTTCTCTCAGGCTGAGTAAAGATTTCCAAATTTCCCTTTGCCCAAGGTTAACTAATTTAGAAGTTATCCACATGCATTGCCTCACTTGGTTCTTTTGTTCTTGCCCTGGTACCTCTTCCTTGCAGAATTATTTGCAGAGTCTGAGACCACTCATTGGTGGGGGTGTCATTCAGTGGCCCAGACATGGGGTGAGTTACCAGTATAATCTGCAATGACTTTGGCTTCTGATTCTGAGCTGGTGACTGGCTACACACAGCTTCCACGTGAAGGAATATACCAGAAAGACTGGAGGACACAGCCTGGGAACTAATTCTGAGAAGAAAACTGCAGAGTCAGTGAAAGAGCTTTTGGACCACCCCCAAATGGAGCATCCTGATAAACAGCAAACCCAGTTTTCCTTAGACCTGTTCTCGCTGCCCAGGCTTCACTGCCAGCATCTTCACCAAACATTTGATAGGACAAAAATCCTTTACGTCCTTGAGGGCAGGAGCTATATGTCATACTTTCCCACATACCCTGCAACACCCAACATTGATTTACTCATAGTAGGAGTTCATGTAATACTGTGGAACTCTCTGAAGGCCATCTGTTCCCATGCTTAGCTGGGCTTGTGACGGACAACAGTCGTTTGCTCAGGTGGTGTGTGTGAAAGGGCCCTGGAGCACAGTGATAGGAAAATGCTAATGAACTGCTGTTTGCAGTGCCTTGACTACCACCTAGTGCTTTCTGCTGTTTCTTGTCCACACCAACCTGGACAATTTCTCTTGTCCTTCTCCACTCAAGTACCATCCAGCATTCAGGTTTGGGCTCAAGGCCCGACTTCTCCCTGGGGACCTCAACCATCCCAGGGCATTGTGATCTCTGCCCCTAGGTCCCTGGCACACTTCCTGGTTAGCATCCTCTCACTCGACAAAGCATGTACTGCTGTGGCTTGCTTGTCATTTCTGTAGGTCTTT